GAATGAGTGTATGGAACCCAGATCTATAACACCCTAGCTAAGTCTTAGAGATAGGATACATACTTGAATGATGTTTGGATTTGCTTCAGCATTTGATGTAGTAAGGGTGTACACTCGTCCCTTTCTTGGAACTTCTATATGTCCTTTCATAAATGGGTAGTTGCAAACTAGATGTTGTTGGCTACCACACTTGAAATATGATCGAGTGACATGATGGCACGGGTTCCCCTGAGTGAGCTGCTACATGAATTCTAACTATTTCTGGTGTCGGAGTCGTGCTGGAAAGTATTTGGTGTTGAACGCCCCCAAAAATCTCTCCTGGGTGATGGGAACATAAAAAGTAGTTTGTTTGAATTCTCACCAATTGTCAGCTTCATCCTCAAGCAGGTATGTAGCCAGGATCACTTTCTATTTAGAAGTCACCCCTAAAACTCGGAATGCCTTTTCAATTTCTTTTAAACATCCTTCAGTTTCACTAAAATTCTTGGTACCAACAAATGTAGGAGGATGGAGTCTTAAGAACTTTCTATGACAATATGGATCCGTAATGACTGGTTCTAGATTATATAGAGACAATACTAAAAGAGGGCCATATATTTCTTCTCTAGGCTGGTTAACAAGCTCCTCCACCACGTGGTACAACTGGTCAATATGCTCTTGTAAGGACATGTAATTGGGAGGTTGCTTTGGTGGAGTTCGTCCACGTCTCATCTTACAACCTTCATTCAGAAAAGAATGGATTAGAATATTTTAAAATAATGTTTTCTACTTCTCAACATCCCAATAGTTGCAAAAAAAATATAATATTTAAACTCTAAAACCTCATGCACAAGAGATGATTCTAGGAATGTGGGCTCTAATACCACTTGTCACGCTCCAATACTCGATATGAGCCGCAATTTCTGCTCATGCTATTTTCATGCAGTGGGCCCACAAAATATACATATACACATATCAAAATTTATTATATAATCTAGCATCCCATGTGATATATACAGTAATTATATATACAGAATATTAAATCAAAATTTAGAATTTAATAAAACAAAACAAAAAATTTTCGAATATGCACAAAATATATAAAATATGAACCATTTTTATAGGTTCTACTCGTTTGGCAGTGGTGCTGGTTCTTCATTCTCCTCTGAAAAATATCAAGGTAAAATTTAATGAGTTTTACCAACTCAATAAATATTCTCATTCTCTCAATTAAAATAAAGTTTCATGCAAAACAAACAGTAAGAAAAAAATATATAAATATTCCAGTGTAAAATTTATTTTCTTATTTTTACAATTTCACATGTTTCTGATCGATCTTCTAAATTCTCTCGAATATCATATACAAACCTCAAATGTATATCCTCATACTCTCGAAAGTCATAAATGCACTCGAATATTAATCATCATTTCGATACATAATCACACACACACACACACACACAAAAGGTCATAGATACACTCGAAAGATCATTTCTATATTTTCATCGCGCAATGCTGTTTATGTCGTCATGAAGAAAAGCAAAATGGATCCTCTCATTGCATGGATTGCACACATACACAAATCTTACAATGGTCATAACAGGTACGTTTGCTAGGTGACCCACACTCACAAATGTCTATTCACGTCTGGATTAGGTTTTAGACTCTATCCATGTGCAAGTTCACCATACTCACTGAACTTCAGCCACACACACACACTCCCTTCCTCGATTCAGACTAAACGAGAAGGTATTTAGGGTCCCTACTCTATTCACTCCTACCCTCTAATCCAAAATTCTTATCTACTTACCTTTTATTCCGTTTTTTTCTGAATTTTATTTAATTGATCATTTCACAACCTCAATTATTTCTTTTCCTCTCTATTTTCATATTTTTATTTTATTTCTTTTTCTTTTATAATTTTTCACTTAAATAGAAATTTTCTTAATTTTCAATTTCGTATTTCATCACAGTCCAAATAAATTATCAGTCTTTTGAGTCTGTAGTTTGGTTTTATCTTCTTATAAATTTGCAATTTCTTAGGTTCATTAGTCATAAATTTGAGTTATATTTTTCATCAAAAATTGGGTCAATATCAGTTCAAATTTCAAAATTCATAATTTAATGAAATGAATGCACTTTTTAAAATTCAAACCTGGTTAAAATTTATAAATACTTACACTTTTACGTATCTTCTTGAATCCACCTGAATGTCCTAATTCACTGTACACATGACATAAATTAATTAAAATACTTTGAAATACTAAAAATTAATTTAATCAAATTACGGGTTCCAGGGACCACCCAACGGAATACTTGAATTATCAAGATCTGCACCCGAAAAACTTTTCGGCTCTTCGTTCAGTGAATCGAATTTTTGTTTTTGAGAAAGACTTTTCAGCTTCTCGAACAGCGAATTGGGATCCCAAAAAGCGATTCCGGCCTCCATTCCCACTGAAGACCCTTCGGCTTCCCCGGTGTGTGGGTTTCCCTATTCCCAATGAAGCTTCCTCAGTTCCTACGTGGGTGGGTGGCTCGACCGCGCCCGCACGGCCAGCTCGACACTGTCCCACTCCACTACAGCTTAAACCACCACCAAAACACGAAAACAGAATGATTTTACCTTCGGTGCAAGCAATTCGACCTCGACTTAGCTCCTGGTCGTCTCCTCTCGGTCACCCCGCGGTCTTTTAGCTTGGTTGAGACTCGGATGTGATTTTTCAAACCTAAAAACTAATTAGTAAAGGAAATAGAAGAATATAATGAAATAAGAAAAAGAATTGTCGAAAAATAAAGATGAAAGGACGAAACTTACTAGTTTTTTGGACATTAACGTCGTGTGCAGCTCGGCTTTGGATTCTACCATCACACGGTGCTCCTCGGCCACAATACCCTTTCTTCTTTTTCCTCCTATGCGATTCTCTCTCTTCTCCTCCTTGTTGCGCGACCATTCTCGGCTTTCCTCCTTTTCCCACTCGGCCACACTCTTTTTCTTCCCTTCCTCTCTTTTCTTCTCCCTTACCCTCGTCCTTTCTGGCCTCTCTCTTCTTTTCCTTTCTCTCTCTTTTCTCCTTCTTGGCTTTCCCCACGCGACAGTCTTCTTTCTCCTCTCTCCCCTCTCGTTTCCTCTCTTTTTTCCCTCTCTCATTTTCGACTACCCTTCAAAATGAAGAGAAAACCCTAAGTTTTCTCCTTTTATACCTGTTGGTCCCAACCATTAGATCTTTCTTACCCGATCTGAGCTGTCCATTTTCTTTTAAATCTCCTTGCTTCGATCTTCTCCGGCGATTCGATCTGAACCGTCCATTTTTTTATTTCCTTTGCTCCCTTTCCATTTCCTCTTATTTATGTTTTTGCCCATTTTTTTCTCACATATTTTTATTTAAATTCTAATTTTAATTGTATTGATTTATTTTATATTTTTTTTTTATTTTCTTTGGGTGGATGTTACCGTTAATGCCTATAAATTTAAATATTTGTCAAAGAAAAAAAAAACAGTAACCCAAAGAGTTGAAGTTTCAGAAAGTTCAACAAGTGGCAATTCAGGAACCAAAGAACAAATTAGCACACGTGTGCACATCGCAACCCATCCTCATCCTAAAACAAAATGTGGATGAAGGGAGGGAGATAGGAGGCCTTACACGTGCGAGTTAAAGGATCTCCTTCCCAATCCATCTTTGTCCGTTCAGCCAGAACTGCTTCTCGGATCTCATTTACCAAATCCATCAGTCGTTTTTCAGGCTTCAACACTAACAAAAATGGCATTCACTTCCATTTCCGCACTATCAACAAAATGCCTCTACATCTCATCATCTTCAAGGTCTCCGAATCATCATCTTCAACAGTGTTCCTCTAAGCCAGCTTGTCGTATTGTTTGTCATGGAAGCCCAGAAAGGGAAGACCATAGTCTTGGTGAGTAGATTCATACAAGTTTATTAACATTAAGCTCTTGGTTATCATCATCGCTGAAACTCTCCTTGAAAAGGGAAGCCAACGAAATGGAAGAAACTGGTTTCTGCGGCACTGGCTGCTGCAATTATCGGCTTCAATGCCTCCATGCCTGCCATTGCTGAGCTCAACAAATACGAGGCTGAGACGCGAGGTGAATTTGGTATAGGATCAGCAGCACAGTTTGGTTCTGCAGATTTAAGGTCTTGTTAATTTCTTTTATGGTGGTTTCATTTTGGGGATTGAAGAAGAAACTGATTTCTTATTTCCGCTTCATTTTATGCAGGAAAGCAGTGCATGTTAATGAAAATTTCAGGTGAATTTTGTTTTGTCTATAATATATCTTTGGAATAATTATCTGATTGTTTGGATATATACTAATTTGCTAGGGTAACAAAATGACTCTATTCTCAACCTTATAAGTTCTTGTTCTACTACTCTGCATTATGATACAGGACAGACGAAGCTAGTTGCAAATTTATGCATTTATGTCTTTATGATTTTAGTAATTTTTTTCATCAATCATATATCATTGATAATAGCTTTATTCATTTCCAATCAATCAAGACATTTTGTGATGATCATCTCGAAATTAAAGAACCATGAATAATCATCTAAATAATTATTTCTGAATATGTCAACCCAAGAGTTCTTTGATTCAGATCTTCTAGAAACCCCATTATTCTTTTATCCACTCTTCTGCTTACTATTGAATCTTTGAACTATTATAAGTTTGTCAGTTCTTTCTTGGACTTGTTCTTGCTCTGAAAGGACATTCATATTATTTTTGGATTTATGGACTCCGCATGCTAAGCTGAAACCTTGCTTGCACTGATATAGTTAATTACCTAATTAATTTTTTTTCTTACATTTCTATAAATTTTCGTGTGGAAATTGTCCAAAAAAATGTGGTGAACAAAATCTCTCGTTAATCATAAAATTTGGTTATAAAAGATCTAATCAATCTAACTTGATGATGCAGAAGAGCCAACTTCACATCTGCGGACATGAGAGAATCTGATTTCAGTGGTTCAACCTTCAATGGTGCATACCTTGAGAAAGCTGTTGCATACAAGGCGAACTTCACAGGTAAATTTATTGACATGGAATGTTATTATATCTTACCCCTAAGGAATAGAAACAATTCTATTACAGGCTTCTAGAGGATGTTAAAAACTTCTCAATCAAGGAAAATCCCAATACTGAATGGTTCACACTTCATTTCACCATGGCTTTCTTTTCTTCCTTCTCTTGCAAGTTAATGGTGAATTTGCAAAGCTTGTTGCTGCAAAAGCCTTTTTCATTGTCTCCATGTATTGTTGGATGCAGGTATTAATCCCTGCACTAACACTCTGGGCACAAGAACTTCTGCAACAGTGGAGTTCTTTTCCCCCAATGGTTGTTCAATGCTACCATGTTTGACAGATAATTTCCCATCATAATATTTTTCCTGACGATATAGGTTCATTCTCCATGTCACTGGCAAAATATTTGCTTTCTGGGTCATACATTTCCAAATCACCACAAATATATTAGTTCTCCAAGTACTTGCGGCTCTCCTCTCCTGAAAATCTTTTTGATTGCTTTGTCAAGTATTCATTGCAATGGATGTCATGTTCTCCGATTCCCTAGTTTCCTTTAATATGGATTTAGAAGGATCAGTGCCACTAGATAATTGAAAATTTCTATTACACGCTTTAGGGAAACTTTGAATAGCTGATTTTCTTCTTCAGCGAGAGAAAACTCAGGCAAGACCACAACTAAATCTTCTTGGGGAAGTTAGAAGCTTGCCCTGCAGAGGCATCTGGTTATCTAATTCTTTCATGGTCCATGGATGCTACCAATTTAAGTCCTTCCTCACCAGCAGAAATCATTGAGTCCTTAGGATCTAAACCATATCCTGAGAACATGATCTCTAAATAAGTCGAATTCTCCAACTGTTAAGCTGAAAATCCTGGATTTGGAAAACGAATTCTACTAAGAGTTGATACATGGCTTGTACTGCCGGCTACAGGAAAATTGCTAAGTAGAGATACATTTCTTTCCTTAAGCACAAATAGGAAACACACATTCATCTCTTTTTAGCCTTGCTGTTACTGAAACTCATACTTGAAGAAGCACAAATAATCATCATTGACACTTACTGTCACCTACCACCATTCTATTCTCTGATTTGGCCTCCATAAAATGAGAAATGTAGTAACAAATAGGTTGACAAGGGGAAAGAAAAACCACAAGGCTTAAGCCATTAAACCAAAGATACTTGCATGAGTGTTTACTTTGACAACTATCCGATCTTTCACACAAACCACAGATACCCAACTAAGAAAACTCTTAGGGCCTATTTGATTCGTTTCTCATTTAAGTTTCATCTCTTAATTTCAAATTGGTCTTAAAATAAACCATTGTAGGAATTCAATTCCCACTTTTATTTGTAAGAGAAACTTTAAGGCAGAGATGGAGTAAAATTTGAGATAAAAATCATACATAATTTTCTGTCAAGACTAATATGGGGATTATTATTTTTTAAAAAGAAGATTAATATGGAGATTAGAGGTATGAACAAGGAGAATGAAACAGGAAGTGAACCAAACAAGAACTAGTTTTTTTTTTCATCTCCTTTTGAGAAAAGTAAAACTGTTTTAACATTATTTGTAGTTGCAAGTAAAAATCATGTATTTGGCCCTAGAGCCTGTTACTTTTACATAGAAACTGGGTATTAAAAAAGATATTTCCATTAATATCAACAAACATGAAAATCCCTTACCCTCTGTTATATGCACATCCACTTCAGGTTATTACAGTACAAAGTTGAGTACTATGCTTATGTAGAATTACGGAGATGAAGAAAGATAGAAGACACAGGAAAAACCAGAGAGAGGAAACAAGAAGATAGAGAACTGAGAGAAAAAGTCCAAATGTGATAAATCTTTTTATGCCCTTGATCAATACAAGAGACCTATTTATAATTCATTTATAGACTGCTATACTTGTTTCAAAAACGTATTTATAATTCATTTACAGATTTAAGCCTCTTTTAACTATTAACAAAAGTGTCCCTGTTATTCCTAATTCACATGCATCAAAATGAGAACACCCTTCTGTAAAATTTGCAACTTATATCTGAAACCTTTGCAAATGCTCTTTGGATCAACTCTCAAGTTGCTAGCAGTTGTCTATGTTAGAAAATTAATTATCTTTGAACTATTTAATTAGTTGGTAGTGGAGTAATTTTCTCTTCTTGGAATTAGTTGGTTGTTAGTGGAACAATTTTCTCTTGTTGGTAATTACAAATTTGTGTATTTAAGGCTGGTTTATGGTTGAATACTTTTGTTTCACATTTTTTCTGCATACAAAGTATTTGATAAAAGTGCTCATAAATTTTATTTTCCAGCAATCTCATTTTTTGTTGTAAGTTATTTTGTTCTACTAGTCCTTGTTATTAACATCTGGTATTAGAGTTTGCTTGACAGTTCCAGATGACCAATAATCATGCTGTAGTAAATTTTGTACAACCATCAATTCCAATTGTTCAAGGCAACAACTATGATATATGGAGTACCAAGATGAAAACTCTTGTTTATTTCTCAAGATTTATGGGATTTGAGATAAGGAATGATTGTAACGAAGATGGAGAGGCAGCCGATAATGTAAGAGATCTTTGAAAGAAAGATGCTAAGGCCTTGTTCTCCCGCTTTGTGATAGCTACATCTTGCTGTAAAAAGTATTTTCAACAGAAACAAGGCCTTAGCATCTTTTTTTCGAAGATCATTGACATTATCAGTTGCTTCTCCATCTTCATTATAACTATTCTCTACTAAATCCCATAAATCTCGAGAATAAACAGTCTTCATCTTAGTACTCTATTTATCATAGTTGTTATCTTGAAAATTCGGAATTAATGATTGTGCGAGATTTACTCCAACGTGATTGTTGGCCATCTGAAAGTGTCAAGTAGACATTGATACCAAATGTCAATGATAGGGGCTGTTAGAACAAAATAACTGAGAACAAAAAGTGAGATTGCTAAAAAATAAAATCTCTGAGAACTTCTATCAAAGACTTTATATGCGGGAAAAATAAATTGCAAAATCTATCTGTACTCAACCATAAACCAGCCTTAAATACACAAATTTATAACTACCAACAAGAGAAAATTACTTCACTAACTTACTCTCTAACAACCAACTAATTCCAACCAGGGAAAATTACTCTACTAACTTACTGCTAACAACAAAGATAATAAATTTTCTACATTAATTCTCTAACAGTCTACCTTTACCAAGCTGCTAACCAGAATGTCTACGGCCTCCAGGATTTGACACCTGCACTCCTTATTAACTGAAACTGAAAGCGTGGAAAAGACCTATCAAATTGTCATTTATCCTACGGTTTCTTCTTCCAATCCAAAAGTCACTTTTTTGTTCGCAAGAAAGCATGACTTTGCTTATGGGGTTTTGAAGATAGCATGATTCATGTGAAACTACTTTGACATAAACGCAAAGAAAATTCCTATTGCTCTCTATAAATAAGCATTCTATTTCTTGGGATATATTTCAATTATTCTAGAAAGTTCGTCAACAAACAACAGCAAAATCCAGAAACAATGTCATAAGAGTGCCTTATTGCTTTTTAAATCTCCCAAGCTTCAATAAGCAAATTCCAATTTGTAAAACTCACTATGCACCCAAGACTAGCCCTGCTACCGAACCCGACCGGTCCTGACCGAATGCGGGACCGAATTTTTCCCAATTTTAAAATTAAAAAAAAAAGTTTTAAGAACAGAAGATGAAGACCTGCGGCTGCTGGTGCGTGGTGGCGTGCGGGCGCAAGCGTGGCCACGTGGTGCGTGGGGAGGGAGAGTCTGGAGCCTAGGCGTGTAACACGTTATGTTGGTGCGTCGTGGCGTGTAGGGCCAGGCGTGGCCACGTGGTGCGTGGAGAGCATGGTCTGGACGCGTGGTGCGACTTGCGTGGTCGTGGTGGTCAGGTGACGTGCCGAGGCGAGGCGTGCCGCGTGGAGTGCTAACCGCGAGCACGAGTGGACCAGGCGACCAGGGCTGCTGTGGACGTGTGGTGGACTGGTGGGGTGGGGGCCTGGTGGCTGCATGAAGAGAAGACAGAGGACGATGATAACTTTTGTTGGTGAGTGAGAGACAGTGTGTGAGAGGGTGCTGCTTAGGGTGTGTGTGTGTTGGGGGTCAGGTGTACACGAACTGTTAGTCACGTGAGTGAGTGTTTTTTTTTTTTTTTTTGGTTCAGACCAGACTCGACTGAAAATTTTGACCCAGAATTCGGACCGAAAACCAGACTGTTCCTAATTCTGTCCGGATTGAACATCCAGTTGTTATCCGGCTTCCGGTCCTGGCCAGAAAAATAGAATAAAGAGTAACTTCTCTAGCCCAGTTTGATAAAAAGAATTAAGAAAGAAAAACAAGAAACAGAACTGAGACAAATTGGGTGAAGAAAAACAATGTGGCTTTTTATTTCATTTTTTCTTAAAATTTTAGATATAACAACACTCTCTAAAAGTGAAATTAAAATATTCTTTAAAAATATAACAAAAATGCAAAATACATAAATTTTGTTCTAAAGAGAAAAAAAAAAAACAATTGTAAATGCAATAAAAGCAAGGGAAGAATTATGGCGCCATTTTGAATTGAATCCAGTTCTAGCAAATCTGACATTTTGTTATAATTCAAATTGAATTCGTAATGCATACATAAAATTTCCATTCACGAGCATAATCATTTTGATTATATGTTATGACAGGTGCAGATTTGAGTGATACATTAATGGATCGCATGGTAAAAACTTTACCAACCTTTCTATGAATATGAATGCATCGAGCTGAGGTGTGTAGTCTCTCAATTCAAACCTTCTTTTTTAATGTGTATAGGTACTGAACGAAGCAAATCTCACAAATGCTGTGCTTGTACGATCAGTTTTAACTCGTAGTGATCTCGGTGGTGCAGTGATTGAAGGTGCTGATTTCAGTGATGCCGTTATAGATCTTCCACAGAAGCAGGTTCTCTCTTTCTTAACTCTTTTTCTACTGCAATTTGATTCATTGTAATATGAACGTTTGATTTAGTTGGGAATTGTTATTTGATGCAGGCTCTATGCAAGTATGCGAGTGGCACAAATCCAATAACAGGGGTGAGCACCAGAACAAGCCTTGGGTGCGGGAGCAGTCGACGAAATGCTTATGGTACCCCTTCTTCTCCTCTGCTCAGTGCTCCACCCCAAAAACTTCTTGATCGAGATGGTTTTTGTGACCAAGCCACTGGCCTTTGTGATGCTAAATGACCTCACTCTATCTTCCTTCATTTTTCATTACCATACATATACATATAAACTAGCCTTCTAAGAAATTGATGTTTGATTAAATACTTCACTGAAATATAGCAGTATCTATTACCAAATTAATTACAGCTTCAAATCCCGCTAACTCATATCCATCTGCCCTCATGCTCCTGCTCGCTTATTCATCTTGATATTCCTATCATAAGACAACAGTACAAATGTCCAAATTTCTAAGAAAAGTTATCCTAACTATGCCATCAAGTGCTAAAGAAACCTTAAAACTATTTAATTAAATGTCTGCCTTTTGAAGTAGAGTTAAATATCCAAACTAACCCAACAACATTCATATTCAATCTATCTGTCAACAGAAAATTTATTCTCAAATTATAAGTAGCGGGCCTGGTGAGTTTTGTCAATATAGAATTCTAATCCCTTCTAAAGTCTGTACACCGAATAACAAAAAAGAGGGATTGCATCAGGAAATTATATCATTAATGTTGTAGGATTTCTGTAAAGAATATTAATGTAATTTTGCTGTGTTATAAGTACTTTATTTATAGCCTTGATAATATTAAGACAGCTGGTACATATATGTCCCACAACTCAAGTATGAGATCAGGATCTTTTCTGGGAAACACAATAATGAAACATCAGCAGACAGCAAATTGATGTTTAGAATACCATGTTGGATGTTGGATCTGTCACAGTTAACTCATTCAGAAGTCCAACATGGTGTGAAAGTTAATCAAGGTAAATTAATTATGCTGAAAACAGAGAGGATTGCAGATTGAGAAAGCACAAAACAATAGGTAGAGAAGCCTATCTGATGAGCCTCAGCTCCCTCCTAAGTCAAGCATCCACCACCTTTTGAAGAAATCAATATTCAACTTGCTTGCCCTTTACATTTCTCTTTTCTCAAGTGGAGTAACAAAGAACACCCATTCAAACAAAACAAAACAAAAAGAAAGAGAGAGAGAGAGAGTTAGACATCAATGAATATAGAAAAGCAATATTGTCTCCTTTATGGCTCTTCCCACGAGCTTTCCCAATCAGGGGATGTACCCTCTCAGGCCTCTTGTCCCGGCCCACCATCATCTACCTTTCAGATCAGGTGTCCATCTAGATATCATATATTCAATTATATATTACGTTGTTAACTCAAAAACTATCATACACACAGCTTGAATCTTGAATATGCTTTGGATTTTCAGACGGGTATAAAAGTTTTGGCTGTACCTACTGAATATGTATTACGCATTGTATAATACATACACGTATGCACTGTTGATACAATATATTATACCTACAAATCTATGACAGCAATAATTTTGTTAAAAAGTCTGTTTTCGAAAAGTTTTTAAGTATACATGCCAAGAATATGTCTCATCAACAGCTAATTACTCGCACGAACCTAAAGGTTACAAAACGTAGTTTCTTGTCATATATGTGTGTATACACACACACACACACACAATTAGTTGACAGCTGTACAACTTAATTTTATACTTCTTATGAATTATCATGTATTGTAGAAAACTTAAAAAGAGTGATCTTCCAGCACAAGGAATATCTTATAGTTGAGAAAAACCAAGGCAAAAGATCCCTATTATACGATTAACTGTAGATACAGAGAAAAACAAATCCAATTACTCAAAACAAAACTGAGGAAAATTATTGTGGGGGAAAAAAACACAACATAACCCAACTACAAATCCTGGATTATATAATTAATGATATATTCATACGGTACCCGTGGTTGTATATAAGGAGTATTGTTTAATCTGATGACGAGGGAGATATTACGGTAAATTACGAAATGTATATATATACGTATTTTATGTATGTGTGTGTGTGTGTGTGTGTGTATATAGAGATAGAGAGATGATTAGATGGATGTACAAGTACAATTCCGGACTCCAACTACTCTGGAGGTTTGCGATTTGGGAAACTAATTAATAATGCTGCCTACCTCACATGACTTGTTTCACATGCCTAATTATCATCATCTCTTTATCTTCAAACAACGTGTTTAACAAAACCTTATTAACACTCATGAATACCATCCTAATGGAATACTGCTTGTTTTTTGCTGCTGGAACAGACTAAATTAATTCCCGTGTCCAAGTTTAGTTGGTTATTTGCTTTCTTCTTAATTAATTTTTCTTTTTAAATGTTAAATTCCCATTGTTCTTGTTACATTGGACTGATGAGAAAATAACTAAGAAAATTAAGCCTGAAAACTAATAAGACCTACACGTCAGAGAGAGCACTTAACTTGGTAATTATGACAGCTCCCTTGAGTGTCTTTTTCCAATGAAGAATCCTTGTGATAAGCATGCCATCTTCCTGCCTTTGTTTGAGATGAAATAAATCGATCAGAGCACGCCCAATGATGATGTCTGTTGAAAATATGTATATATATATATATATATATGTATATTTTTTTGCTTTAAAGGCATTGTCATGCTTGACTTCAACCCAAGTAAGATCGGGTCAATCGCATTTCAAACCAGCATACTTTTCTTCTAACACAATTAATCATTACTTTCTTAAACCATGTTTCCCCTTCCTGTCCTCTATATATACCACACCGCCACCTTTCAAATTGCACTTCTCGCGGGTCATTTCCAAACTTCAGTTCTATCATCCCTTCAAACCAGCGAACTTATCAGGTGGGTATTCCAAAGTTGGATGAACAATATGTGTATGCACGTATATGTGTTCTGTATTTTATATTTTTTATGATCTTTTCTTGCGTATGCCAATCTTTGCATGGTTAACATGGAGAATATCTAACAATACTGATTGGCAACCTTTGGCTTGTTTGCGCATACTCTGGATGTCCTTACTTCTTTTTGGACTTAATTTGTCTCAAGCTTTGAGTAGAAGACGGTTCATTTCAAAAAGTTAAAACGTTTTACCTTCATTTTCTGGCTAGCTTGGTGAACAATATTAATTCGTATATATACGTATTATATTCTTGCAAAAAAAATTGTATAACGAGCTTCTATTTCTCTGTCAAGTTAGATCCCATTATCAGCAGTATATATGCTTCTAGAAGTAAGAGAGAAGGTAAAAAGTTATCGCATGTTGTTTATTCTAGGCTAATATGATCTGCTACATACGTATGTACTATAGTAGAGTCTCTGATAGATATACTAGCCTGCCACCATAAGATTGCACGCATGCAACTAAATCGGCTCACCCCGTAATTTCCAACAATATTTGAGCCACTTCACATCTTGAATGCATGATTCCAGTTGCATGCACCTTCAATGTATTTGGCAACTAAATACAGAGTACAGAAATACAGTTTTGTTTCTTTTTTGTTTTTGTTTTTTTAAAGAACAGATTAGTTAGAACTTATAGTTCTCTCTGAGTCTAATGACATACTGATTAGTTAGTATTAAATTTGAGAAGCTCTCTCTTCCAAATATGTAGGCATAATCATGTTCTAGATCCATTTCCTTCTAATTTTGACTCTGCATGGATTCTATATATATTACTTATAGTATCTAACCACGGCATCCTGGCTGCCTCTATTTTGAATTGCACACATTAAAAATCTTTCTTATTTTTTTCCCCGATTAGTTTATTCAAATTCCATGCTTGCTGGATCTCGCCCATGCAAAGTTACATGGTTTTTATCTCTTTCAATAAATAATTGACAGGCAGTTCATTAATTTACATGTGAGAATTATACATGCCAAATTGGAGAAACATTAAGGCCACATGGAGAGAGAGAGAGAGAGAGAGAGAGAGAGAGAGAGAGAGAGAGAGAGAGAGAGAGAGAGAGAGAGAGAGAGAAAGAGAGAGAGAGAGAGAGGAAGATGAAAGAAAACGATACTATGCATATAGCTGCATTGATATAATGCAGCAAAATGTAATGTTCAACATTTGCCAAGTGAGTTCAAACAACGGTACTTGGCCATACAATTCACTTACCCAAGTACATAGTAATATTTATTAATTTGTAGTCGGCATATGTTTGCAGTCTATTGTACCCTTCTCACCTCCTAGTATATATATTTATCAATACACAGGGACACCATATATATATATATATATATATATATAGCTAAAGAAATAGCTCATATATATTTTTAGTTTTATTATGTACAGCATGCTGCATGATATTTATATGTAAAAGAGTCCTCATAGTCTGGTTTCTTCTTAATGATAAACTGTACGTAGTTCCTATAATCAGTATTCATTATCATTCTAGTTTCTATATATATATATAATATGCTTTCACTTCCACATATCAATATGGCAGCTAGAAGTGGATGTGGAAGCATATTCCTGATGATCACCAATGTTGTCGGAGGTCCTCTTGGAATCATGGAGTAGCATATTCATGTGTTGAAAGGTGTTAGAGGCATCCTCGTGGCTGAGCTGAGACGCAACGAATTTGTCGAGCACTCGCCAATCCATGGCTTGTTGGGAGTTGTTATTAGCAAGAATTGACTGTTGGTACAGAGTTGGAGAATATGAAGTTGCAGAAGGAGGGGTGGGGCTGTCGAGGTGAGGGAGCTGAAGGAAGGAGGGTTCAGTGTAGTGTTCTTGTTTGCAGGGGAAATGGTGGTGATGATTAAATGGAGGAAGACGACGAGGAGAGTCGAGGTCAGGGATGAAAGTGGCCGAGAGCTGATCGTCGTACCAACAGGGTGGATCGTAGTCACCCATTTTTCTTACTGCTGTCATTCGCTTCTTGAACACCCTGCACACCACCCATCCTTCTTCCTGCATGCATTTGTTAATTATCAGTCACAACATATTCATCTCATGCATTAACCACGTAATCCGACATACATACATATATATATATATATATATACTTCACATGTATAATAGTATGGTAATTCATGTACGACGTCAGAAAACTTGCTACAAGTGTAACCTAACCCACTAATTAATTATCTGAAATTTCAATTTTATTATTTTTATATTATGATTAATCAATTCTTTCTAGTTGCATTATATTTTTATTAATTAAAAAAAAAAAACCTTCTTACAACTTATACACTAATAATAATATAATTTTATAATGAGAATACATATGATATAATTTTCTAAAAAAGAAATGCAGTTTACAACTCAAATTCACATCCTCATGAAACTATTAACTACAACTCAAAATTTTAATTTGCACATTTTTTTCTTTGAAAAGCTAATGTGCATAGAAGTAATCACCATGATGCCAATTCCTTTTCTGTGTGCCAACAAGATTTATGATATACAAACTTGATGCAGATTTGTTATATGCACTAACCACATTTTTTAGATATATAGACTTATGAGTACATAATAAATTTTCAATATGCAATTATTACACCTGGAAACAAAGACAACTTGCCTAATTTTAGAAAATATGAACCAGAACTGTTTTTTCAAGAAGAATTTAAAGCTCAGTATGATAAATAAAAGTATTTTCAAAATTTTGCTTTTAAGAATTCATGTATTTATATATATATTTATATATTTATTCATGAAAGCATCATTAAGAGTTGTATAGTTGTGTAATTATAGAGGAAATAAAATATTTATATTGTTTCAAAATAAAAATAAAGATAAAAATTTAAAAGATATTTTCAAGAACTAACCAAAAAGCACATGGTATATACTAAACATCACTAGTAAATATGGAGTTTTGCTCTTGGATTCATGTTAAGAGAAACCAAGATGATAATTTGTTTTTCTGAAAAAGAAAATTTATCATTAGTCTTTTTTTTTTTAAAAAAAAAGGTAGACGACGATATATTATAATATATCGAAAAAATATAAATACAAATACATAGCCAAAATCATCCCATTCAACATTGGAAATGTACCATTAATATGTATTTAAGCCTTCGAAAAGTATTAAAAGAAATCATTTGACATTTATACAAGGGGGATTGGAAATGCAGATTAGCTTAAACAAAATATTTTGGTGCTGTAGATATGTTTGAAACAAATTTAATTTAATTAAAAAAGCAACAAATTTTATTACAAAAAAATGAACTTATAACAAATTGCAAAAATGGGTTATTCAAATCCTACATACATCTTTTTTTATTATAAGTAAGATGTAGTTTAGTTTAGGTGGTGCAACACTTTTCTGTAAGGAAAAATATGAATTCACCAGAGGACTTGTAGATAATCTATTCATTTGGAACTAATAAATGTAGATTTATGTAAATTTATACTTAATTATATTATACTTTACCAATTAATTTTAAAATTTTTGATTAACTTTCTAATATGGTAGCTACCTAGTTTAGAAGAAAAGAAGTAGATGATCAATTAAAAATAAAGAGAGAAAATTGGACGAAGATTAAAAAAGAAAAGAACTTGCCTGAGGAGTTCCATTTTCATTAGTTTCAAGTCGATACTCGTGCATGATCCAATCTGATTTTTGACCATTTGGAGCTCGTCCTTTGTAGAACACCAAAGTTTTTCTCATACCAATAAGACTGTGCCTGGTGTAAATAGCCTTGTCTCTTCCTGTTGCTTTCCAAAATCCTGCTTTTGTTGCCCGATTCGTCCGAGTTCCAGTCGGATACTTTTTATCTTTATGGCTAAAGAAGTACCATTCATTCTGCTCCTCGTTTCCTATTCTGCAAAGTTCTTTTATGCATTCCAACATTCTTAAGTTGATATATCTAGTTTAATATTAACTTTGATCTAAAACAACTATATGAATCTTGTATGTGTATACCTTGCAGATCCCATGGTTCGATTTTGTAAAGATCAACATCTTTGATAACATCTAGATCAATCCGCTTTGAAGCAACTTTTTTTCTCAGGTAGTAATCCACAAGTTCTTCATCTGTCGGGTGAAATCTAAAACCTGGGGGTACATGTGAAAATGAATTCATATTGCTTCTACGTACACCTGCATTTATTAAATCATCCAAACTCAACGATTTTAATCTTAATTACGTGTAATTATATAACCATGCATGCAAAATTCGATATACCTATATATATAAGTACTAATTTAGGAAAATAAAGAAAAAGGTAAAAGTTACAAAGATCATGTTTCACAAAGTCCTGCACTTAAATCACAAATTACGTGATTCATGTTGGAAATTGAACCAACCAGACAAGAAAAAAAAATTAATATTGTGCCAAATTAACACCCAACAAAAAACAAGGTTAAATGTCTTCTCGTGTGAAGCAAAAACCATTACTAATGATTGTTTTCAACTAAATTAGCAGTTAATTTTGACTGCTTTTGCTCTTCATATTAATTATAATTAATTAACCTATACATATATATATATATATATTTGTTATTATATACATATAGACAAAATAAAATCAGTCATTTGTCACGCAAGATCACCATTAATTTCATAATGACTACCTAATTCTTCCAAGATCACCATCACATCTTCATTTCACCACTCAAAAAGAAAAAGAAAAAAAGAAAAGAAACAAGCAAGGTTCCTCCACTGTTTGCAAATTACAAAATTAGATCATCCATTAACTATAAACATGGCAATGTTTGAAACTAAACTTGACATAATATTTCCTTTTATGCATATATTTTATAGTTTTCGCAGTTCAAATAAATAACGAACATTACATATATGTAAATACACGCACATACACATATAATAAACAAGAAAAAAGAAATCATGCCCAATAAATCTAATTAAGAGCAACTTATAATTTTTATCAGAGTGATGAAGCTAGTTAGTCCAGTGAATTAAGTAGATATATATTTATGATCGCATCGGACGATACAAAGAAAAAAACAATATATATATATATATAAACATCATTAATAATGATCATTATAATGATACGATGAAGGTCATCAATTTACTTGTAAGAAAAGCTTGCTCAAATGGAAACACTTATAATTACTCTTGCATAGGCTTTAATTCAGATAAACAATCCACACAATAACCTCCTGATAAACAGCCCGTAGCTATAATTACAACTTACAATAACCTACATCACACCAATTAATTAACCATTACATATTTGTACATCAAATATCGACCAAATATGTCTCACGTTACATCTATGCAGCCATATATATATGTATATATATAGTCTCCTCAGACATATATAGAGAGAGAATCAAAGATGCAAGAGGTTGTCAACTTAATGTTATTTCTCTGATACACACACACGTAGAGAGAGAGAGAGAGAGAGCGAAAAATGCTAGTGGGGTTGTTAGCTTACATTTATACATATATATACATAAGTTGAACTCATTATCCTAATATTTTTTAAATAAAAACTCTTACATTCATCTAGATCATATATGAATATCAATTATAATATGACAAAAAAATAACCTTGAAATAAAGATAAATAGGAGCACAACTCGATTCAAAGGACAACTAAACTAGGCTGTGGTTGGTAATCTAATTTATATATATATATATATAAAACTGAAAAATAAGACCTGGGTAATGCTGGAAAATTTTTAAAAACTACATAACTGGAAGCTAGGTGAATGCTGGAAAATAAACACAAACAAATCCTCCTTTATACATAGTTCTATAACAGATTAAAAATTCATTAAGTCGCTGAAGATATTAGAAAGTGTAATATTTGATCTGAGATTTAAATTAACCATCTCATCAAAACATATAAAATTATCATTATGTAATGAGGTTTAATTATTCTAAATATCTGACTGTAGGAGATACGATTAATTACAGAAATAATTAGTTCATTAAATTTATAAGAAAACCTCAACTTTGATCTTTTACTTATGATTTAGTACGTATTGGATCAAAGATACCTTGTAAGAAAAAAGTAAATATAGATAGACCACATGGGTAATCAAATAAATATACTTGAATATAGCTTTACTTTGTGAGGACTATACAGAGATTATCAATGAACAATATATATATATATGTGTGTGTATATATACACAGGCATATATGTTCTCAACTGAGTCATTAACAACAGAAAGCGATCAACAAAATACTGATATATAATTCATGCGCAAAGTGGTGGAAATTTAATCAATAGGAAACCTAAGGATTATTATTATTATCTTAAGCCTTTCAAAAACCAATAAAGAATATCCAGAAAATGTTATTAGAATTCTCGCTAGGATTCCATCAAATTGATCATCAAGTTCAACAAGAAGATGAAAGAAACTTGGGATAATTCAAACATAGAATATCATCCAGCTAGTGATATATAACGCATGACATGAAGTAATCTTTTGGATTAGAAAACAGTAATATTAGAACGTTGAACACTCAGATCAAAAACTCAGGTCAGTTTATATGCACAAAAAAGATGACCTAGACAAAATACCATGAAGATGAACTACATATATAATAGTTGATAGCAAAATTGTGTGTGTGTAACTTGGATAGCATTTTTTCTGCAAATTATGTTTTAGATCATGATTCAAGTTGCTTGGCTTGCAACAAAAGCATCCCAAAGGAAGAAAAATACAAACCACCAATACATCCACAAGAAGGAGAAGAAATGGAGAGATGAGTAGTAACATATCCTGGCCACGACATATACCTTAGAATATAAAACTGAAACTTGGTAGCTGATCAGATCTGGTGGAAGACAGCCCCCGTATCCTCCAATCAGCTTAAAGTGAAGACACTTTAAGCCTATAGCTTTTGGTAGATGATAGCTTTATTCAACAAGCTATGATCAGAAGCAGACAAAAAAGAAGACACTGAAAGACAAAAAAGAGACTGGGCAATCAAAAGTGATCATCGGGAATTGAAACTTGAAACCCAACTCTTCCTTCTCCCTCCTCCTCCTGCTCTAACCTAACTATTTGTTCTTCTGAAACTGTGGAGGGAAAGAGGGAGAGATAAGATCACGAGAAAGAGATAGAAGAATAGAAATGGGAAAAGAGAGAGGAGGTAGGGTTAAATAAGAAGCAAAAGCACAATGAATATAAACTAAAAAGAGAATAACACACATGCCCACATGCCTTAATAATATTCTATATACCTCTCTCTGCTCTTTTTATATTTATATATATTTATTTATGATGGGAAGAGAGAAGGTTGATTGCTGCAAAAGCTTTGCGCAAAAAAGGAGGCGGAAAATACTTGAACCAAGATTTGAGAGTGAGGGTTTGTGAGAGACGACACCCTCCACCACCACCAACCACCAGCTACTGATTACGACCACCGAATTAAACACATTTGCTTTGCTCTTTCTTATGATTTTTCACAGACGGAGGGAAGGAGAATGATGATGCCTGAGAATGGACGGCCAAGAATCACATCCATGTTAAGCATTTTTCTTGCCCGAAAACAATATGTATTTCCCAAAATTATGTTTCAACTTTTTAATTAAAATCATCTTACGCGTGGATGAATATTATTTTTATATTTTTTATAAGATTATAAAGTTGAATCGAATTATATATTTTTTTATATCATTTATTATTTAATGCACAAGTACAATTTCATTATTAAAATATACAAGTTCATACCCAAAAAAATTATATATTTACAAATATTTTTTCTCATTTTCAACAATTTAATACTGACAAATTTTTAAACAGATATTTATATATTTTATTAATTAATTAAGTGATACATGCACATATTACAATATAATTTATCAATAAAAATTTATATATGAAAATATATAACTTGATTTGAATCAACAATTTTATCCAAGTAGCAAACTACCAGCCATCTAATTTTGATTAATAATGATAAATTAAATCATGTAATAATATATAATTTGATGTCATTAATGAATTATAACATATTTATGTAAACTAGATATATAATCAATAGAGATGCAAGATATTTTGATGGGTCCTGTCCTATTGGTAATCAACATCCACGTTCCAATTCATCTACAACACAGCAAACCCATTTGATCTCGACCTCTCCTTTATCTCCCTCACATTTTTACTTTTCCGTTTTTCTTAATTATATAAATTATGTATGTATGTATTAGAGCTCGCGATGTACAGGATGAGGTTCATTATTACATGAATATTTCCCTTCTAGACGACCATTGGCTTTAATGGTAACAAATTGATTATTAGTACTTTCCTCCATTGCTCAATAAATATTCTGACTCAATAGCAAAAATATCATGAACTTTTAATTAATTAATTTATTTAAACATATAAGTTAAGCAATATAAAGATAATTATATTTCTACAAATGCAGGGTGTATGTGAAAACCTTCTTCTTAATTATGGATTAAACTGCCATAAAAGGACTGCAATAAAATCTGCAGACGTAGTGGGGTCCGGCAGTGAGAATGTGTTCGTCTCTTCTGGATTCAATGTCCAAATCTTCTTCAACCTCCGGTTAAGAGTGTGTGTGTACCAGAAGATAATCAGTGGAGAGAAATGTATGGAGAAACAAAATATCTTTGTTCCATTCTTTTTTAGACGTGAAAGAGAAAGTAGGGAGGAGGAGATAACCCATCATCTTACAGTATTTGAAAGAATTCAACACCCACCAAAATAATTTAATGGGTGTATTATATATTATCCACTCCGCCTAATTAAACAAAATTATGTTAAATGCAGACAAATTGGGCTTTTTAAGGTTTGGTGGCTTTTCTTGTAATTTAATAATTGTCTGGTTGGTCTGTCTGAATTTTTATATTTTCTTTTATTAATTATTTCTTTTATAGTCCTATGAAGTTTCAAATAAAATACAAAAGTTTTCAGGAGCGTGGCCCCCACCAACCGACCTTTATTCATCAAGACAATGACACTTCTCCAAAACACATCATTAAATAAGTACATCCATGTTTTCTTTTTATATATATATATATATCTATATATTATTAATTATTTAAAAAATATTAACTAATTTTTTTTTTATTTTCTTTATTAACCTGTTATATGTTGTGATGGTGGAGAGTGGGGCCCAGCAAGAGAGGGAATAATGTGATGGTGTTAGCATTACGTGGCGGGTAATGGTCCAGCGTGGGTTAGCCCACGATCATTAGCTTCACGTTTGTTCTGTTGCAGGCCGGTTTACATGTGGAGCCCACCCCGTTGTAACCTTTGGGGCCCACTTCTCTCTTTATTAAAATAATAATTTAATTTTCTTTTTCGGGGATTGACAGAGAGCGGCTAATGGTTCCTGAGGTGAAACGTGTGTAAATAAATGAGTAAAAGAGAGAGTACAGAGACAGGCTGCTTGTGCGTGTGGATAAGTTTATAATTATATTAGGAATTGGGTCGGGTCGGGTCGGTTAACGGGCAAGATTTCTAATTTTTTTAAAAAAAATTAAATTAAATTAAATTAAATTATTAAAATTGCTTCCTTGAATAGGTAGTATAGAAGTGAAGCAAAAGTCACACACGTTATCCAAGTGTCATATTGGGTCCCACTCTTGCTCCCTTGGCAACCTCCTTTTTTTTTATTAAAAATAAAAAAAATTTAAAAAAAAACCCATTTAATTTTTTAAATTCTTTTCTATCTTCAAAATGTATATATATATATATGCATATGTTGCTGCATTGTTTGCCAACAAGTAGATGGTCTTGTGGATTCATGGAGTGGGTTTAATTAATTAATTAATTTAATTTATTTGATGAATAAATGCATTTAGATTTTAAATAATGTGATTAATTAGGTAGTTTTAAAAAGTTAAGCAAAGGAAGGTGGGGATGGAATGGATTTAATGATTGCTGATATAAGTAGATGATTTTCCCGGTTCCCCACGTTGAGCCAATGGAGGAATGGGAAAAACCCTATTAATTTTATTTATTAATTTAATTTTGTATTCTCTCATTTTGCATACCATTTTAACTTATAACCCATAATTAAATTTTTTATAATCATCCAAATGCATGGTGTAACAAACTCATTTAATTAATTAATTAATTAATGGAACAACCATGATAAGAAATCATGTATTTTACCAAAACGATTCGAACTCCACTAAAATCACAAATAATTAGTGCTATTAATTAGGATTAATTGATGATGGTGCAAAGTGGGGATTTCAAAACATATTAATCTGGATTATTGGACTAATTAAGGGTTTAGTCATTTGCATTTTTAATTCTACATTTTCATCTGCCCTATCCAAATTCTATTACCCAGAAATCATACCTTTAAGATCCGACATATATATGATTTAATTATTTTTTGTGTAAATTAATTATTATTTGTTGAATATAGTAGAACGAGATATGTTTGTAAGAAATTTAATTTCTGTATTTATAATTATAATAATAAGATTAATAACCTACCAATTAAGTTGACAACAGAGACTCTTCTTCTTCACAAACAAAATCGTTTATTAGCTGAAGGCGTGATGACTAATAATTAACAATTTAACGTCTTTTTCTGCGGTGTGTATGACTGTGTGTGTGTGTGTG